CTAGAATGTTTGTCTCATTGTACAAAAATAACTTACTCAAAGTCAATACAAAGATATCCCTTTGAAAGTGCAAAACTATATGTTTTTCTTCACTCTTGTGTTTTGTTTACAAAAACGTCCAACGATTTGTTTTTGAACACATGTATTTGAACATAATTACTGTTTATAAATAAACGAAATATAAAGACAATCACTTTTGGCTTTAAGAAATAGGGCAGTCTTCAAAGCTATAAAATCCCCCATTGTGTGCAGCTTCATCCCCAGCGGAATAAAACTTCCAATTATCACTCCCCGGTAGAAGTCGCCAAATTCTCAAGATTCCCAAACAGGATTTCACAAGCAGTACACGGCGTTTCCCTTACCACAAAGTTCATTTCTCTAAGAGGAAATTCATCAACACTGCAACTTCACAACATGAAGTCTTACATATCCTCAACAGTGGCTAGGGATTTATTTTTCCCAATACAACAGCAGTGCATCAGACTATCTCACATACGTATACATCGTATCCATATATCATAAACATTGATAACACGAATGCATCATACCATGCATTTCATACAACATGACTTTGCATTTTGACTAACATTTTACCCTTTTCAAGATAAGGTTAACAGCTACTATTAACAATGTTCAAAGATTTCAGATACAATTCAGATATGCTCCAGACACGGATGTCATTCTGATACTCATTCAGAATCAGCTTTCAGATACAGTTCAGATACGCTCCAGACACGGATGCCATTCTGATACTCATTTAGATTCAACTTCCAGATACAGTTCAGATATGCTCCAGACACGGATGCCATTCAGATTCAGATTTCAGATACAGTTCAGATATGCTCCAGACACGGATGCCATTCTGATACTCATTCAAAATCAGCTTTCAGATACATTTCAGATACGCTCCATACACGAATTCCATTCTGATACTCATTCAGATTCAACTTCCAGATACAGTTCAGATACGCTTCAGACACGGATGCCATTCTGATACTCATTCAGATTCAGATTTCAGATACAGTTCAAATACACTTCAAACATGGATGCCATTCTGATACTCATTCAGATTCAGATTTCAGATACAGTTTAAATACGCTCCAGACACGGATGCCATTCTGATACTCATTCATATTTAACTTCCAAATACAGTTCAGATATGCCCCATACACTGATGCCATTATGATACTCATTCAGATTCAGATTTCAGATACAGTTCAGACACGCTTCAGGCACAGCCGCCATCCTGATACTCATTCAGACTCAACTTTTAATACAGTCCAGATACGCTCCAGACACGGACGCCATTCTGGTACTCATTCTGTTTTAGTTTACAGATACGGTTCAGCAATCATTTATGGATGACATTTGCGGTCCCATCTCCGACAAACTTTCCATCATCCTTCCAAATTGCATCTTTAAGCCCATTCCCTATATCATCAACCTTTACATAACCGAGTAAATTTCTGGGCACTCAAATGTCCAATCATTTTCCACCTTCGAGTCAGAAATGGAAAAACTCGCCAATTTAACTCTTCATGCTTAAGAAGATTGAACATGGGCAGATGTTGTACCACAAAATTTGCCCTCTCACTTATCAAGAATTTCTCAAAAGACCACCCTGGACCTTCAGGTTTGTTCCCACCCAATTTCAAGCCTTGAATTACAAATTTTTCAAGAAATTCATTATTCACAAGGGTAAAATGGTCATTTGCGCACTGAAAAGTCAAACTTTGACTTTTGGATCAAAATCAAGTTTCAAGAGTCATATTTCATCAAGACATGTTGAGATGTGAAATTTGTTTCATCTAGAAATTCAAAAGTCAAAGTTACTTTGGAAAAGTCAAAATTCTAAATACTTAGAATTTTTTTTAAGTGTTTAAGAAATATGATAAGCTCAGAACTTCTGATCAGATTATCACCATGATGCAAACTGATTCTGGATTAACTTCTAACACAACAGTTATGGACTCAAACAAGATCTGAAACACAGTAGAATAGAACATCACCTAAGAATGTTAGGATATCAAGTTATAACTCCTCAAAGACATGTCCTTGAAACAGAAACACTCAGCAAATTCTGGACACTTCCAAGATAGAGTTTGGTGAGAACTTCTAGGCCAGTTTTCACAAAGATTCAGTTAGAGTTTGCAAGGGTAATTCAAAGAATATTTACAAAGCGTGTTGCAAGCTCCCTGGAAAGTCCGAGAGCTCCTTCAGAACATGCTAGAGCAAGGAGATACAAAGATCAGAAGATGGATGTTTATTCTAAATTACGCTTAAGCTGAACTTCTGACCCAGAATTAAGCAATGATGCAAAATCTCACATTGCAAAATTTCCAGTTTGATAAATCTCATCATCATTTAATGCTCACAACCACTTTTGGGTCTCTATCCAAAGGATTTCCCCACGCGTGGCATAAAAGTACCATTATTGTCTTGGAAAAGCAAACTTTTGTACAAGAGTGTACTGGGCCCATGCGTTGCTTTGCTTTTGAGGTTGCCTTTCCTTAATTCTTGCTTACAAATCCGGCTTAGGCGCTGCTAAAGCTGCTAACCACCATACCTATTTGAACCTACTTCAAGAACAAGTTATCACCAATCATATGATGGTTGGACCCCTTGACCTCTCCAAGCGACTAAACCTTTGCCTATAAATTGGACTTCATTGGCAACTGTAAAAAGGTCGAAAAATTTGAGAAAGGAAAAGCCTGGAACCCCTGCTAAAAAATTCCAAGAATCTAAAACTGCAAACACAGAATATAAAACATGTTAAGCTTTTGATTTCTTGCATTCAAACTCCATTTTTCCTCAAGTGTTTCTTGACCAAACCCATCCATACAGTTTCTGATTTACATATTAGAAGTTATCCTAACTTCTGTGTTCAGACTGTAACACACTCTCCATCCACATCCACCTCAAAAAAGTCAGAACTTTTCCCCTTGGATGTTCCAGGATTTTCTAACTGTTCATAGCCCAAGTTGAAAGTTTCCAGCCTGTTGAACACGTGAGGAAGTTGTTTAGAACATCACAAACGGTCAGAACCAGACTCCAGCTCACAGATTATTTTCCAGTTGCAAGGTAAGTTTCTGCTGACTCTCATCATAATACTTAGGCATTGTCAGATTTGCATGTTCAAAAATACTATGTAGACATCATGTTTCTGATGTTGTACATATTCTGAGGTTTCATGTATTTGCCTGCCTAAGTAGGGAGAATTTCAGTTCAGAACTTTTTGAAGAAATTAGGACTCAGAATTAGAATTAGAAAATTCATGTTTGCTTCCGATTTATAGTTCTGATATCTCTTGTTTTTGAAACTTTATGAAACTTGCCATAACTACTATGTGCGCCTCTTCTGTTCTGTTGAGAAATGACTAAGGTGCAAATGTAATGACTAGCATGGAGAGGGAGACGAAGTTCTTCTAGTGGCATCAGAACTTCTGAAATCTTCTTTGTTCCCAGCGGACCCAGAACTTCTGACTTTACCTATTTCTACTAATATGATTTCTGTTTTTGCAGCACGCCAGAGTTAGAACATCTAATCTCTTTTAGTTCAGCAATGCGCTGATTCTATTTTCTTTTTCCTTACTAGTTTTGATATCACTTTTATTTTCACTAATCAAAAACACCAAAAACATTTTATATTTTACATGCTTTATTTTATTTCTTAAAACAAAAAGATCAAAAATATTTTCTTAAACAAAACTTATTTCTTTTCTTAAACAAAACAAGTCCATTTCACACTTTCTTGTACATTCTTACCCATTCGATATGGTTGTAATAGTAACTTAGGATTTAATTTTATTTGCAATCCCCATTTGTAAATCTGTACACCCCATCCTCCCAATGATTGTAATAGCGTAGGATATTTACTTTTTGCACTTTTTATTGCTTTCATATATTGCTAGTAATTAGGGTGTATGGCAAGACATGAAATCAACAAATAGAGAACCCTAATCAAGACAAAAATGCATGCAATCAAACACACTTTGCACACATGCACACCTTAGGGTAATCTCACTTGTTGCCTATCGGAAAAATAGTCATGTCCCTCGAATATGGAAATTTTAGCAAAGACCCTCGATAAAAGATCGTAGTCCCTCGATGACCCTCGATGTTGCCTTCGGTAAACGATCTAGTCTCTAAAAGACATTGCTAAAACATCCATAGGTTGCCTTCTATGACTATACGATGACCCAAGTCCGTCCCTTCACATCCAACGACGAGGCTTCTCACCAAATCAATGGTAAGATAGCAACACCCAAAGGAGGAGGAAAAGAACATCTAAGACCTTTTGAGTAGGTAGATTCTCTCCTAGTTGCTCGCTTGCTCATAACAAAAACATTGTATACACCAACACTTTCACTTTGAAATATTTTCAAAAGACAATATTTTGTATGCATTCCTATAGAGGAGAGAATCATTACAAAGACACCTTTTCAAAATCACTTTCAAAAAACACATCTCACAAACACCTTTTTTGAACTATCTTCGAAACAAACACTTTGTATGCGTTCTTATAGAAACGAGAACCATTACAAAGTTATATTTTCAAAATACTTTCAAAAACCACACCACAAGCACATTCAAACAAAATCAAGTGATCTAGCAAGTAACTAAGAGACCATGGAAAACCATGGATGAAAAGGGTGCTAATACCTTCCCTTTTCATAATCTACCCCCCGAACTCAAGAAATAATCTCAAAGGTCTTTCCTGTGCTTTTTCACCTTTCCTATTTGATAAAAGAAAAGTCGGTGGTGACTCTTGCTAACCGTAAAATTTGCAATAAAACGCAAAAACCTTCAAGTAAGTTCTCCCATTGTATCACAGGATACGAATCATTCGAAGATTGGGGATTTTTGTTTAAGGTTTAGGATACGGTTCTTTTATCCTGATGAGGGGAAATTATTTCATGTTATTGTTACAATTTATTCTATTATTTTAACATTTCATCCATCCAATTTTGTCATGTTGTTGTTACATGATACATCAACTATATGGCTCGCCCAATTGAAGCTATGAAGGATATTAATCAGTCAAAAGATTTATGGAAGATTGCTGTTAGGTGCAAGCATTTATGGAGTGTGACGAGTGCATCGAAAAAGGAACACATCGAGATGATTTTGGTTGATTCTGAGGTATTTTATCAGTCTGGCCATTATGAATATGTATTTGCAATATTGGTGTTGGTAAAACTAAATGATTATGTTCGTTTATTGTAGTTATATACGATTCAAGTCATTGTGCCACCCTTCTTGGTTTCAAAATTCAAGGAGCAACTCGCGGTTGGATGTTCATATGTAATGCAGAATTTCAAAGTGTCAAACAATGATTTCTCTTTTAAGTCGACTAATCATAGTTTCAAGTTGGTGTTATGTGGCTCAACTTCTGTTAAGAAGGCTGAACTTCCTGATATTCCTATGAATTACCTGAACATTCTTCATTTGGATGCCATTGTTGAAGGCAAATTCCAGTCTAATATTTTGGTTGGTATGTTATTGGTGGATTTTAGTTTAATTCATAGAATATTTGTTTTCCAACGTCTATAAATCTATATAGTATATAATACACGAATTATTGTAGATATTCTTAGAGGAGTGACCGAGATTTCTCAAACTCAAATCAATGCTGATAACAAAAAGAGCAAGGTTGTGTTTCAATTACTGATAATAGGTATGCTTTCAGTAATTTTTTGTATAATATTATTACATTAACTTAACTAACATCATCATATTAATAATGTTAATATGTTTGACAAAGTAGCAGATTTGAAGTTCAATGTACTCTTTGGGGTCAGCTTGCCATACAATTTTACGATTATTATAAAAGTCAGAAGGAAGATGGAAGTATAATTGTTTTGCTTATTAATGCCAAGATTAAGGAGGCTCAAGGTTTGGCACATATAAATTTTGAGTTTTTTCTCCAAATGTGAATCCAGATTTATGTAACATGAAATTTAATCTCTGCTTCAATACAGTTGTATGTTCTAAAGAATGACTAAAACTTGCAGGAGGGTTTCCTTTGAACATCTCCAACGCTTGGAATGGCATAAAGTTTCTAATTAATGATGTTACCCTTGATGTAGTTATCAAGCTCAGAGACATGTGCTGAGTGATATCATTTTATTTATTGTGTTGTATAATATATTTTTGTTATACTGGTTATGAACATTTGTCATATATTTCATGCAGTATGCAATCTGAATTGCCATTACTGTCTTCATCAAGTCTTCAAGTGGACACAACACAAAACTCATACTATTCTGATTTCGATAAGTTTGTTTGGAAGGTAGAAATTCTAAGTCTTGCTGAAATAACAACTCTGCAACACGTAATACATATTTCATTGTATAGTGAACTTGTGATTATACATCATATTGAACTAACTATGGGTTTCATCGTTTTATCAGGAGAGTACATGTGTTACTGTTGCGACTTTGGACAAATTTGAGGCTGGACAGTTAGGCTGGTATTATGATGGATGTGTTGGTTGCACAAAAAGTGTGTCACTGCAGGATGGAAAGCTGGTATGTTATTCCAAACACATTAGCCCAGCGCCCGTACCAAGGTATTGTCTGTATCTATATTTACGATTCATGTTGTTAAATTTTTGGTGGCATTACAATCATGGTTTATGATTATCTTATATATATAAACTCGAAGTCTTATCTATTGACGGTAAATACAAGGCCAGATTCATTTTTTGGGACGGAGATTGCGTCAAGTTGATTGGGAAGTCCACTCTTCAAATGAAAAATGAATTGATAGAGGTATACAGTTACAACTTATTAAGTTTGATTCTTTTTAAAAAAATTGTGCAATAGAGTTCATTGTGTTTATGTAGGCAGATGAAGATGATCCTCTTGAATCCCCTTATGCACTTGATGCAATTCTAAAGCAGGAATTGGCTATTATGGCAGTTTTTCAGCCTAACAAAGGTAGACTTTTCGTCATTAGTTTCAAAATTGATGAAGATTTTTGTAAGAGAGTCAGAGGGAGTTTCAGCTCGGAAGAGGTAATCTCAGTGTAAACACAAAAATATCATTGTTGATCACTACTTATTTTTTTGAACTGGTATGATTTTGTATTTGGCAGCCTACTTCAAAGCTTCTACCAATTGAGCCTTCATCCCAAGATGAATCAATATCCTTTACTGTAAGTTATTAATTCAAACATGATCCCCCTATGTAAAATAGATATCTACATACAATGTATAATGCTGATATATTATATCCACATTGCCAGCAGAAACCTTTATCTGCTGGTGCCGATTATAACCATGATGTTGGAAATTCAACTCCGACTCCATCAAAAAGAACTTTACCTGATCCTGTTGAAGATATTGAGAGTGTCCAACTTTCCGCAACCAAGTTAATTAAGGATATAAAGAAGGAGAAGTGGCTATATTCACATTTATGTTATTTTAAGTTATTGTTAGTTTTGAAGAAACCAATCTGATTGTTTGTAGTTTTTTGCCTTGAATACTTTGGATCTGTTTCAACAGTTTTCAGTTTGATCTCTTTAATATCCTTGAATGAGGAATGTCGAACTCCATCATATATTTTTGGTTAATTGGTTTGAACGTTATACCGCGATGTTCACCAAGTATATATGAGTCTATTACTGTCACATAATTTTAGTTGTATGTTTTGCCGAACCAATGCAAAACCTGTGATAAATATACTCATTTACTAATGTTTTTTTCATCAACTTCAATATATATGTGAATCATTGAAGTTGTATCATGTTTTTAATGATGTCAGCAAACATTTAGTTTCTACATTGTTTAAACTTCATAGATAATTCTATATTTCATATACACTATGACTATGTGGTTTCAGTAATATCTTAATATGTCAGGATCAATAAAACTTTCATTTTTTCGTTCATTACAGGCCTAAATGCCCTTTAAATCTTACACTTCACTACAAAACCTTCAAAATAAATAGTCATTTATTTGACTTCATGCAATTCAATGAATAAGAAGGTACATACAATCATTTGCCTCCAAATATAATATGTTTCTATATCTTCCACAGTATTTCGTTAATGTAATTGTTACATGTTTAGATGTCTTATGTGCTATATGGTAAGAAGATGAATAAATTATATGAATTAAGCAATTATTGGAAACATATTTCGTTTATAATATTAACTAAAAGAACACCAAACTTGTGAAATACATTTTGCAAAAGCACTTACGCACTATGATACTTAGTAGAATTATCCACTTAGATACTAAGAGCAAATTAAAGCAACACATTACAAAAATGTTGCATCCCTAATAGCAAATTGTTAACAACACGAAATAAAAAAGTTAAACATAAACATTATATAATTCCCATAACTAAACATAGAACATAACATTGCTCCCAACTTGGTACAAAACTCCTGCTATTTTCCATCCAAAACATACATAATATCCAGTTTACTCTTTCATCTGAATTTCACCTTTTCGGTACAACCTCACAAACAGGATTTCCTTATCTGAATTGTAGGTGCATGCAAGCGTATCTCCCACCTTTAGTTTTTTCCCCTTAGAATAGGAATACCACCCTTTTCCCAAATACATTTCCACATGTTTCTTGTTAGATTTCATTATCTTCCATGAATGATACTCGCTGATGTGGAAATCCCTAACAAGGCACGAGCCAATGTCGGGACGAAGGTAATTTTCTATCACGTTAGCTGGGAAATGATGCATGTCAGGACACATACAGTCAATATCCAAAAATGTAAATTATATATAATGTAATTCACTGAGTCATGTAGTTAAGGATCTTAATTACAAAAACTTGATTCCCCTTCTTTCCAGCTTTGCTTATCTCTTTTAACCATGTCATCTCTTCCTTCAACTCTCCCACACCTGCATTCGAATTTGAAGGTTCTCCAACGAGGATCTCCTTTTTCACTTCCTTCATTGCATCATTGGTTTCATGAAACAGCACATCGACAGGAGTTGACTCATGTAAATCTACCTCTGGATCTTCCTTAATGTTGTGTAGCATATCATAAAGTCGAGAGGTGTTTAGTGGCACAAATCTGTCCAGTTATCACAAATCATGAATGACTATAATACTTCAAATAAATGCATGTAACCATATTAATAACACAGAAAAAATGGTTACATGATTTCAGAAATTGAGACTTACCCACTCAAGCTTATAGAAGACATGCAACCCGTTTCTCTTAGAAAACCTTCTGATATGGAGCGGGAACGATTTCAATACTAATGCAAGCATATCATACACAAGTTCTCTTTTAAATAGAATTAAAGACATACATATGTTACTTCGAATAATGGTTAAAGGTATTTATTTGATTTTATGTCACAATACCTACTAATGCAGAAAATCTTTGGACCATCCCTATTATATTTCTTGGTATACCGTGTCATGCATTACAACCCATAATTTTTTTTTACTGCAGCTGTATTCCCTTTTCACTTAAGCTTCCAACATGTGCATTATTACATGTTGTACCCCAAAATTTGCCCTCTCATTTTATCAAGATTTCCCCTCACAAGACTCTTTGAATTCCAGACAGAATTAAGTTTTGCTCTACTCAAGACATCTCATTGCACTGATGACCTAAACTAGGGTTTGAGTTTGCACAAGGAATTTTGGACTTCTAATGCCCCATGTGACTTTCATACTTCATGTTGGACTCCTAAGATTGCTCATACCAAGTTTCAAGCCTTGAATCAAATTTTTGCCCAGTCAATTGGACAGTTGACCTAAAAATCAGTTGTATTTGGGAAAAAGTCAATTGTAGCCATTTTATATTCAAACCTCATAATTTTTGATCCACATCAACATTATAGACTCATATGAACCATTTGATCAAGTTTGGACCATAACTCCACAAGAAATTTGATCAGATCATCAAAAGGGCAAAATGGTCATTTTTAGGGTTTTGACTATATAAGGGCAATTTCTGATTTTTCACCTAGCCAATGGCAAATTGGGTTCAAGGATGGATTCAAGGACTCAATGTCATCATATTGACCTATTCACAAGGTTCAAAAGATCTCAAATGCATTGGATTGACAGATGAATTTTCCAGTCAACTGATCAAAAATCAACTGTACACTGAAAAGTCAAATTTTGACTTTTTGGTCAAAATCAAGTGCCAAAGGTCATTTTTCATCAAGATGTGTCAATACAAGAAACTTGTTCATCAAGAAACCTAATTTTGTAAATTAGGGTTTAAGATTGAAAATTTTCATAACTTAGAAATTTTCTAAGTTATGAAATTTTCTTAATTTTTCCCAACTTTGCCCAACATTTTCACCATGATGCAATTGGATTCAAACAAAACTTCCAACATGAAAGTTGTAGTCCTCCACAAAATCTACAACTCTTATTCACAAAGTTTTCCGAAAAGAAGCTTGGATCTCAAGTTATGATTTTTGGAACAATGGTCCATGAAACTTTTAACTTAGTGAAATTTTGCCCTAGTTTAGGCAGGATTTTGCCTATCTTCATGGCAATTTTTCACATAGTTCCACTTGGAATCTCAAAATGAATTTCAAATATGGATTGTAGATCATGTTATAAGCTTTCCAAAATGTCACAGAACTCTCCAAAATCATTTGTGGTTCGGGATAATCAAAGGTTTGAATTTGGCAAAAAGTCACTTTGATCCATGGCATTTTTCATGTTGCTACAAGTTGCAATTTCCATCCAACATTGTTTATACTTGCTTACAGGTATCTAAACCCTTCCACACTCAAGAATTAAATGAAAACTCAATGTATTTAAGCTTTGTTCTGATCAATAGAGGTTTACACAAGGGATTAATCCAAAAATAGCAAAAAGGCAACATTGCCATTTTTGTCAAAACTTGCTTTATGTCAAATTGCATCCCTTGAGCCTTGAACCAAATCTTGGACAACAAACAAAATCCACAAACTTGTGGCCAAGCTCACCAAATGTATGCAGGATTAGAGTTAGCCTGTACAGGCCTGGCCTTTGTCACTTCTCACCTTTTGCTTCAAAAACAAGAAGGCTTGCAAAAGTGAAAGAACTTGGCAATCTGATAAAACCAACTCTTGTAACCATTCCAAACAACTTTTGCATATTGCTTTGAGCCAGAAACACGAGCCATCCAACCCTCAAGCCTTCCAAAACACAAAAACACCATCTTCTTGCAAAACAGGGCACACTCTGTAGTTTCACTTCCATCTCACAAACCACTCGTGCGTTTTGTCCCAAACCAGTTCCAATACCTTCCATATAACCCACCTAAGCTATCCCAATCATTGGCCATTGACTGTAACTCCATTTGCAAGCTTCACCATTTCTAATTTCAGCTTGTGCAGGTTGACTTCTACAGGCTTATTCAAGCAAGCTCAAAGCAAACAAATCATTGGGGAAGGTCAGAGGAAGTTCAGGCAAGCTCACAAACATCTCAGGCCTCATTGAAAACCTCCACATTTCCATACTCGTGTTCAACTGAAGCAGGTATTTTCCAACTTTCTATCTCTCTATTTAGGAATCATTAGGCTTAGGTTTGTGAATAAAAAATGTAGTACTCATAGCCCTTAAGCTGTACATATGCATAGATTTCATTTAAGTTAAGTATGTTGAGGGAATTTGATTGATGAACTTTCTGAAAAAGTTAGGTTAGAAATTAGGGTCAGAGAAATTCTCTCTGGTCTTTGAGAGTTAGATTAAGTTTTTTATATGGTTAGAATCGTATGATCATGCTCTATAACTTTCATGTTGCAAGTTTTCATTTTTAAGCATAAATGCAGGAGATACGAGTTTGTACAAAGAACACGCGTTTTTGTTTGAATCTAAGATTGAAGATGGAGTAGCTGGGCTGGGCCTGGCTATTTCTCACTTTTGGCGCCCCCAGCTTGCTGATTGCACCCCCTGACCCATTTCATTATTTTTTTTATATTTTTCTATTTCTTTTTCATTTCTGACTTTATTTTATTTTTTCTAAACTTAAAAAATTACAAAAAACATTTTCATAAATTTTCACATTTTATTTTATTATTTTTATTATTTTTTTGGACATTGAAATAATTATTAAATAACATACTTTTATTTTCTTTAATAAAAAACTTGAAAATAATACATAAAAATATTATATTTTTATTTTTATTATTTATATACTTAAATAATTTTTTTTTCACATTATTTTTATTTTTTAACATTTGTATATATTTTATTTATTTTATTGTACATAAATAAATAACACATGATATATATATTTTCCTAAATCAAATTAGGGTTTCCACCCTTAATAAAAAATAACCTTTTATTTTCTTATTTTTTAATACATTAAATATTTTTATTTTTACATACATAAAAATATAAAAAAAAACATTTCTTTTTGAATATTTATAATATATTGCATATTTATTTAATTGTCCATTTAAATATTTGCTTATTTATTGTTTGATACAAAGAATTCAATTTGGATGTAATAGTTAATCTTAGGGCTTT